GGGCTGAACGCCCTTTAGATAGCTCCTCGATGGAATCTTGGTCAAGCAGCAGACGCCAGGTCTTACTCTGCAACCCAGCATCTGTGCGAGGCCTGAGCGGCGCCCAGACGACGCGCTCAGACACTCGGTGCAACCTTTTCTCCGACAAGTAAATAAACACCACGCAAGTAGACTCTATAGCTCTCTATCGAATACAACCTCTTGTATACCTCGCGATTGCTCCCCGGAGCGCAGCCCCTTACATAGTACACCTCTTTCTCCATCTCTCATCTTTTAGTCAGATGCTGGAGCTCTAAAATTAGCCTGGGTAGAGGCTATTAATCCAAACAAGCACTTAGTCTTTGTTACCTCGTCGCCCTCTAGATGGACTAACAATAATATAGGCCTAGCTTAGCTTAAAGAGGTCTTTGAAAAAGAGACTGCACGCTACGCTCGAACTAGGTACTAGTTACTTATTGTTGATGGCCACTCATCTTATGTAACCATAGATTTTCTAGATTATTGCAACAGCTATAGGATTCTAGTTGCTGTATATCCTCCTTATTCGACCTATAGGCTTCAGCCTCTTAACGTTAAGATATTTGGGCCTCTAGCGTTAGCCTACTTAAAGGAGTTGTTAAACTTCCTCTATTGGAGCTATGGAATCCTTCCTCTAGCAAAAGGAGACTTCTTTAAGCTCTTTTAGAGGGCTTAGGGTATAGCTTTTAGAAAGGAGACTATTATAAGCTCCTTTAAGGCAACTAGCATTAACCCACTAAATGCTAAGGTTATTCTCCAAAAGTTCTAACAAGAGGCCTCTAGTTTAGATGAAAGCTCTTCTTCTGTCCTTAGTAGAGATAATTGGCTTAAAATTAAGTCTATTATACGCCAGGAGGTGAAGGACTTCAATAATAAGGAGGTAAAAAAGCTTATGTTACTCGTAACAAGAAGGATTCTCTCCTTGACAACGGACGGGAGGTAGGAAGCCTATGGGCGTCCACGTCAGAAGGTAACGATTAGCGCGGGGTGCGGATCACGTGACTGACATCTCGCCAAGACGCGACATCTTGCCAAGAAGACAGATGCCACGACCTTGGGAGATGCCAGGACATCTCGGACATCTCTAGATGCCAGGCCTCTGGGAGATGCCACAGATGTCAGGGCCAGAGGCAATGGGTATAAGAATGTGTTGGATTTCATTATTACACTCGTTGTGGTCAACTCTTCAGAATAGTTCATCTCTTACACAGATTGATACTAGTTATTCTATCTTGTAGAATTGATTGTTTATTCTTTTGGTTAAATCCTATAACTCTTTTCCACATAGCACTTCGCAAACAATCTCACGGACTACCGCTTTAGTCTACTCGCCCTAACCCGGACCGAGATCAGAGAAGTATAGCCGACCCCCGTGTAACAGCTTCGCCGAAGCCTCCATCACCTCTCAGCTTAAAATAGTATACTTAAAGGAGAAAACTAGAGCTTAAGGGAGGCTCTAAAGGTTAAAAAGAGACACTAAAAGAAGAGCTACACGCTTCAACTTAATAGGCCTAAGGAGTACCATAGAGGAGCTGTCTTTTGGTCTCCTAAGAAGGTTCGCCAAGCCAAGGAGGATGAGATAGAACGATAACAAGAACAATAGCAATTACAACTCTAGAAAGCTAAAAGATCTAAGTTAAGGAGACAAGCTTAATTGTACAAGCTTCAAATAGCCTAGGAGAAGCGTGTTGAGAGAGAGAGGCTCAAGGAGGTGAGAGAGAAGGAGAGAGCCGCCAAGGTGGCTCAAAAGGAGGCTCAAAAGGCAGCCTGGGAGGCTAAAAAAGCTATACAATTATCCTAAAGGGGTAAGCGTAAAGCCTCACAAGGCTCCTCTCAAAAGCAGAAGCGTTAGAAACGTGTTGTTGTTAATTCATCTTATGTACAAGCTAAGGTGGCTGCACTAGCCGTCCTAACTTAGACCACCTGCTACAGCCGCACCACTAAGCTACTAAGTAGATACAAGTAGCCTATTATAATCGCAATGCTATAATTACTACAACACTATAAAATCTCGTGATAATAGCGACTGTAGGTGGCTGTACAGCCTTATCTTTTGCAATAGGTTTTTTGGTGGGGTGGGTCATTGCGCGTCCTGGGTCATTGCGCGTCCATGCAGGTTATGGCAACTGTAGTAAGACTATTATTGTTCCATTAGAGTCTAGTGAGCTCGAGGCTATGTAAGACTTTGGCCGAGGCCGTTCTAACTAGATTTATTTACAAATACGAGTTTGTGCTTGAAGTGTGTCTGTGGTGCTTCGGCCTTTGTCTAGGTAAGCGATAGCTATCGCTTACTAGACGCCTGGTGCTAAAGAGCATTTTGATAACAGAAAGAGATGTTAGAAAA